CTATTGTATTACTATTTCTACTTAGCAGTTTTTCACTTATCACAGGGCTTCAGGGTATGGATCCCCTGTGATAAACAAGGGACTACTGTATAGCATTCCCACTTTGCAGTTTTTCACCTTTCGCGGGGGTTACATTCCACACACCCCCGCAATAATCGAGAGACTACTGTATACCAGAAAGATCCTGAAAAGGTAAAAGCCAGGAACGCACACACGTCAGCTGCCCCCCCCCAACTAACCTTCAACCCCTCTGTCTTCTTAAAAAACTAACTCTCAGAGGTTGATCCAAAAGATGCTGCTGAAGTCATCTCTTCAGCAAAACATTTCAAATGTCTTGTATTTTCTTTGGCATTTTATTTACTGTTTTATGTCATAACTGCATCATTTCCATACCAAAGAGAGACAAACTTTGGAAGTTTACTAATTGAGCATAACAGAACCGTTAAGTGGCAGCTTGATCTCGCTAACCAGCTGACAGAGCATCCCATAGTTTTCTCTACTCTGCCAAGTAAATCAAACAGCCCATTAATCTCTGTCTGGTCGCACACAACGGTCCTCAGAGTTAAGAAGAATGAGATCAAACTCTTCAGTAGGTTATCATACCCTTGACACATGAGAAATGTTTTCTAAAATCCACCACAGCAAATTTCAAGTTAACTTTGAGACCAAACCTAAAAAGTATGCAGATAGTTCACACACTTTCAGCACAAATAGGATGAGCTGTTATGTATTTGTGAGGGGAAAAAATGCTGTAATGGAAGTCAATTAAATCAAAGGATTACATTACTGCACAATTTATGATGATTTCATATAAAATATTCAATTTTCTATGAAATGGGAGTCTGTATTTGACAAAAATCCTGGCACAATATTTAAACGGAGTAGACGTTTGTAGATCAAGTACATATCTGTCTTCAGAAGCTAATTAATGTGTAATGGACAATTCAAATGAACTCCTTTAAACCCCACAAGTTCTTCTGTAATTTTGAAAATAAGACCCCCTTTAATAACTCATTCTAAATTTGACAAAAATCCCTGATTTTAAGTGAACCTAAAATAATTTTTCTCTAAATATTTTCCACTTAAGTTCATTAAAATGCAGCAGACAAGTTTCCACATACGTCATCACAATACATCAGACTTTTAAACTGTTGTTTGAAGACTTACAGACATCAGGCTCCTCATCAGATCCATCAGGACAGTCCTTCTCACGGTCACAGCGCCAGCCCTTAGAGATGCACGTCACCCCATCCTTGCACACAAACTGCTTTGGGCTGCAGCTCTTTTGAGCTAAAAGGAGACAAATGATGAGACAATTAAATAAATATTAAAAGAGAAAAAGTAATAAAAAAAAAAGAAATAAAAAGCATCTCCTTTTCTGTCAGTGGTTTTTATTTCTGAGATCTCATTAGCAAGCCCCATCTGTTTTGTTCACGGTCAATAGTGTCTCTTACTGGCCCTAATTAGGTTCTAAAAAGTTGCTACTTGATGGAGGGGATGGGGAAAGGATACACACAAAAAACTCCAGGCTTAGAAAAGCTTTCCATGAATGTGCTGCACATATGCAACAATGCAGCACGGCAGGACATAAAAAAAAACATCCAGTTCAGTCAAATGACCCCCCCATTATCTAACTCCTCTTAAATCCAACCTTCTGTGATGAGGGGATAAAAGCAACACACATTGGCCACAACTAAATGATACAGCACAATAAAAAACACCAATTCAAAGCCTTACAGATGAACACTTAACCGTGTCCTCTGGTACGCACACTGTGCTCCTGACACCTTAGTAATTGTAGGGTGTTTTACTCATTTTTATGTACAATTTACTGTACCGTGGTTTTTAAAAAGCACAAAAAAATGAAATGTACCGGTGCTACATTAAAAAAAAAAATTAAGCTTAAGAAGTTGGAATTATTTACAAAAGGCTGAAGTTTGTGCAAAGTTTGCACCGTTGTGTTGCATCAATATTTAAGCAGAACGCGTTTTTAGTTGAAGACATGATGTTGGTGCCCACACGCTGTAAATGAGCCCAGTCTGCTTAGACTGTACATAAAAAGATGAAACAGTCATCCGGGGCTGCTGACAGCGAAGCCAGTGGGGAAGGGATTAAAAGTAAAATCACAGTTATTGCTATTTGGCCCAGACTCTGAAATTTGGCTCTCAGTCTCTGATAATTCAATAAAAGGCATAAGTCTTAAAAACTTGTGTGACTGGCACTTGTCTGACGTAACTAAAGTGTTTGGAAGGTTTATTCATTAGCCAACAAGAGCTGAATTTATGTTACACTTGTAAAGAAAACTACATTTCTAAAACAAACAATAAGACTAGAAATAAAGCAATATAGAGAAATTGCATTTCCTGTGAAAATGCAGTGTGAATGCTTATTGCTGAAGAACTAGATGAAAAACAGCTGAAAATGGCAAAATAATGTGCTGAAATGTAACTGAAATGGAAGAACAAGCCTAATTTAGCAGAAGAAAGCAGAAAGAACACATATTTACTGAATGTGGTTTAGATAAGCAGAAATTAGGACAAAAATTAGTAAATTAGCTAAAAAAAAAAGCTGAAATCAGCAAAAAAGTAGCTGATGAGAGGCTGAAAAGGCAGAAAAAAGCTTAAACTACCAGAAGAAAGTGGAGAGAGCGCAACTGTGCCCAATTAGGCTGAAAGAAGCAGAAATGAGCACAAAAGTGGAATTTATCTGAAAAAGATGAAAGTTACACACAAAAAAAACAGCTGAAGAATAGCTAAAAAGGCAGAAAGAAGCATAAATTTAAAAGAATGAAGTGGAGAGAGCACATTTTTGCTGAATTAGGCTGAAAAAGTTTTAAATGAGTGCCAAAAATGTGGAATTAGCTGAAAATGCTAACAATAGCTTAAAAATAGCTAAATGATAGCTGAAATGTCAGAAAATAAGCTGAAATAAGCTGAAAGGAGCCTAACAAGATAAAAAAGCAGAAATAATTTTAAAGAAGCACACAAATGTTGTAGTTAGCAGAAAAAAATGTGAGTGCACAAAACAGCTGAAATTAGCTCAAAGTAGCTGAAAGAAGTTTAAATGTGTTCAAGGAAACTGAAAGAAGCTGAAGCAGAACAAAATGTGAAAGGAGCAGTAAAAGATTGTAAACAGATCTAAAGATTTGAAGGATGTAAAATCAGCTCAATTCATTTTCTAAGTGAAAAAAAAAGTGTGGCAGAAAAGGTTAAATATTTCAAAAAGCTAAAATTGCAACAATAACAAAAGTCAAAGCAGGATTATCCTGAAAGAGCTGAACGTTATGATATATGACCAAAGTTCATGCTCATTCATCCAGGTATAAATCCAACAATGTTCAGTCAGGTCAGCTGGATGGTTTCTTTTGTTGCTGAGACGTTTCATCCTTCATCCGAAGGACTTCTTCAGTTTGAGGAGCCCACTAAACCAAACTGAATCCCACAAGCAGTAGTTCAAAACAGTTTGTTTTGTTTTGAACCACTTTGACATGGTCTGCCATAGAGGAGTTGATGGGACAGAGGGCAGGCCCTGGAGGCATCTTATCACCAGCAAACTGCTTTTCTCCACTCTGGGAGCGAGCTGTTTGTGGGATTCAGTTTGGTTTGGTGGGCTCCTCAGAGTGAAGAAGTCCTTCGGATGAAGGACGAAACATCTCAGCAACAAAAGAAACTGTCCAGGTGACAATATATTTTGATTTGTGGAAGGAGCACAAAAAATGTGGAAAAAGAAAGATGCCGAAAAACATATGGAAGAAAAATGGATCACAATAGTGTGAACGCTTCATAAACATTCACATTAGTTGAAAAGTTTGTATCGTAGTATTCACTTAAAAATAAATTGTGTCTTAAAGTAATCATGACTTCAATAAAACTCATGTAGGGTAGTGTTGCTGCCCACTTATGTTAGATTTATTTAACACTTGTAATAATGTTACATTTTACAGGACTGCAGAGATCACTGCAGGAAAAAAAAAACTTTTACTAAAGCAGCTGAACACAACTGCAGTTAAATGTCATTATGATTAATTAAGTAGAAAATGGCATTGGAGACAGGACAAATCAGTTGAGTAAATTACCCTGAATAGATGCGTTTTATTTTTATTACTACAAATTTGTTTAATTATCAACATGAAAACGCTGTGCCAGCTGACGTTTTGCAGATAAGAAGCGAAATAAAGCATAACAGGAATTCTTTCGTAGCTAAATGTTGAAGTATTCATCACCTGTAATGATTTTTTGTATAATTTCAGCACATATTTGTCTTTATTTGTAGGTTTTGCTGACCACAATTCTCATTTCTCATGATGAATATCAGTAATCAGGGGGCAGTGTCACCTCATTGATTAACTTCAGTTAATCAAATCCTGTTTTTTTTCCTGCTATTATAGTGCCTGTTAATAAATGAGAACATTAACAACATTGATTAAAAACTTCCAGATTCTGAGCACAGCAGAGCAGCTCAAAGGGGTTCGAGTGTTGGGATGACGCCGGATAAATAGGATGACAGCATTTCCTTTTACAGCTAGCTTCTAACTCCTGCAGTGAAGGGAATCTTGAAATGGGGCTCAACCTAAATACCATGAATTCAACCTGACAGATTTCCACACACCCCCTCACTTATCCTCATCTCTGTACCGCTGAGAACCCATGTGCTTAAATGTGTGAGCAGAGGAGTGTCGTTTTCTCTCTAAGAAGTCATAAGGGTTTGAAATATTCATAAAATAAAACCAGGCTTGTGTTAACGCTTACTCACTTTGCTTCTCGTCGTTCCTCTTTAATGTTTGTGTTTGTTTGTTTAGGGGTATCGACAGCAGCTGGAGCAGGCACAAACTTGTGGTATGTTCTGTTTATTTAGGCGCTGACATGACGTGCTTTAAACTCCTCATCCATTTACGGCTTTGGGAGGAGTTTATGCGGCAGCTAAATCACAAGATGCTGCTGACAAAACCGTAGCAGGGATCAGAGGAAGTAGGTCAAGAGGTTAGTTAGCTGGAGATGACGCCCCACAGAGAAAAGAGGTGAAAAGAAAGAAATGAAGTGTAAACAAGAGCCATCATCCATCTCAGCAAAGCAGTCAAAGCACAGCTGGATTCTTTTTAACACTGCCTGTGACCTTGTCCACACGGCACAGTTTCTAGAAATGTCTTTGTCCACATAAAAACACTGAAAAACAACCCAAAACACTGCAGTAACAGTGCCAGGCCTGTATGTGGTGCTGTAGCGCTGCCACAAAAATACACCAAAAACAGGAAACAAGGTATGGGATGTGTAAACAAAGCACGCTGGGTAAAGAAAACGACACTCTTGGGTCATAAATGTGAGATTAGACATGGCGGTATGGCATCATCCTTTTCAAAATGTTGCCTGTTTTGCCTGTCTACACAAGAACTTAAAGGTGGTGTTTCAATAATGTTTTCACTCTGGTAGTTCTTTTAAAAATGTGGTTTCTGGACAACTAAATTATTTTTTTCTGTATGGATACAGTCTGAAACAATTAAAGCAAGGGATGCACAATAATATCAGAATTGTATTGGTATCAGTCAATATTAGTGATAAAGTTAAATATATCGGACATCGGCCATTCCATCAAAATAACTCACCGATATAAAAGGCACTGTT